GAGCAAAACCAGCTAGGGCACAAAAGTATTAAATACACGAAACTATACTATAATGAAGTTATATGTATTCTCACTCAGCTTCAAACAATTAACTCATGACTAATCTTGTTTCATCTATACTTCACCCATCCTTTCTCTTCTTCCTTCATTTTAAAGCACATATTGACATCATATCATTAACTTCCTAAGAGCTAAAATCCAAAGGCCTCTTTTTAGTGTATGTATAGGTATCTGAAGTCCAACAGAGAGGTCTGACCTAGAAATATGGATTTAAGAGTCATCAGTAATAAATTCAAGAGCTGAAGCTCTATAGCTTTGGATGAAATCAAATATCCATGCTTGGGAAACAAGAAGATAGTTTTTGGTGCCCTTTTATTAAAATTACAAAAAATATAAAACAAAACTTTTATATCCTATGATTTTAATTATTTTTCTGCCTTAAAAAGGTGTCCTTATATTAACAGCCACTACTCGGAAGAACTTAAAACCCCTAAAACATAGACATAATTTATGTAACATCAAATTTAAACACTGATATTGTAACCAACTCCAAATCTACCTTTTCAAGTATTTAAGAACTTGTTGCTCCTAATAATTTTCCTTTCTCTTTAAAGTGTATATATTTGTCTTATACTTTCTTTTGTATGTTTATTTCACAATAAAAATTTTTAAGTAAACGTTAAAAAGAAAATGACTATATTTAAATATCTATGACAGATAATGGTATATCTTATAAGTATTTAGAGCTCTGAATATACATAACATTTTTGTATTCTAAAAATGTTTTATGAGCTCTTTAGACACCAAGTCGTTGAATCCGAGACCATTTAATCCTACATTTAAATTAATTTTACGCCAAATGTCAAAAATAGTTGTTTATTTATACTCCAGTCCTGAAAAAAAGTCTCAAGTTCCTTAAATACTAATTTTGCAGTCCACTTTAAAGAATTTCTAAATTTTTCTAAAAATAGTTTTATAAACTATTCAATAAAGAATAACCTTTGAAAAACAGAGTATTTATGACCTCTGGAATGGAATGGAATTTTGTGTCTTTGATTATGTTAGTCACCTAGTAAATTATCCAAAGGGGTAGGAGAAGTACAATTTTTAGAAACACAATAGATTTTCAACATTTAAATTTTGATGGGTTGACACTGATTAAATCAAGCCTAAATCCTATTTGATCAGAAAAAAACTCTAAAATATTTTTAAGTATATCCTAATCTTTGAAGTAATAGTCCTAGAAACATGAAAGTATAATTTCATAATTAGAGGGATATACACTGTAGTTATGAGCACACCATACACTTCCTCACTTTATTCTTTTTCTAAGGAAAAAAAATGGATATATTTAAAAGCAGTTTCAACTTTGGCTATCTTATGTAATTGCCATTTCACCTAAATTACTGGAAGTTTCCTGGGAAACATTTTTTATTTTTAAAAACTTTTGAAAAGACTGAACCTAATGTGTAAAATCCAACTCATTTTTAAAGCATGGTTAAAGAAACAATCATTATGTCAAAATGGCATGTTCTCTCCCCACCAAAAAATAAAATAAATCAGTCCTTTTTTTCCCCCCAGTAAATGTTAACAGGATGATTAAGAGGCATAATTGCTTTTTCAGGAACCATCTCCTAAATAGAGTGACCCAAACCCTTCTCCCTTTCAGTAAGTATATTCCAGATACCCACACATTTAATTAAACTGTTCTTTCTTAAAGACAATGAATCAGTTTTCTTGTTGTCAAACAAGCAAAGCATTGTTACTTGGTATTCATTTTCTAGTTAGTGGTTTTTACCTTAAGTATGATATTGTTGAGTACAAATATTCCTTGTAATAAATTTAAGAACTTTCTTCATTCTCATTTCAGACATTAAGATGTATGGGGGAAGGGTGAGAAAAGTGTGGAAAATATAAAATAACTTTTTGAGAAGTTCAGTTTCAGTTAAGGAATTTTATAAAGATATCTTGTTGCTGTTCTTAAATGAATTCTGCAACAGAAGCCAAGTGATTTTTTTTTTGGTCTTGAATAGTAATGATACAGATTTTCTTTACCAATAGTGTATATATTAACTATATTTAATATATCAGAAGTATTTTATTTCTATATCTCTAAATTCTTAGTCCCTACCAGGGCTTAATGACATCAGTAGCATTAACTAATTCTGCCAGAGTAGTGAATTTACCATTTATTTTCACAACTTTAAAAAAAAATCTCAACTTTCCTGTGAAACTGCTATTTTGAGCAAAATACATGAAAAACTAGTAATTTCGATACAATACATGAAACCACTCAGGTTTTTTTGTTTCTGTAATATAACAGGCATGAATCTGCTGACATTCAGAGTCTTTTCACCTGTTTTTCCTCGCAGGTGTGAGGACTTTTTTCTTAAAAACAAAAGACGCACTGGATTTAGGGAAAGGTCTCCACGTACCCCTGTAGCTACCATCAAGGAGTCCTGGAAAACTCTGCAAAAAACGGGGTTACTTCACCCGCTCTTTTCAGAGTTTCAGCAAATTAATGCGGTGCGCTCTCTCCAGGTGGTTTTAATGTTTGTTTTAATTTTTAAAAATTCACAGATATGACCTACCCTACACCCCTAAGGCACTCAGACATGCTCACTTAAGGGTGTACTTTCCCGCCCAGGTGTATGAAAGGAGCATACGAGCTGTGGGTAGAAAACATGTAGATTTCGTTGAGCACCCAAAGCAAGAAAACTGCTGAGTCTGAACGCTGCTAAATGTCCTGAAGTTGCTCAGTCTCCTTGAACTGCTTCCGTTCCAATTGCTTCGTGTGTGTCAGGAATACCCAAACCCAAACCCCACAAATCCCTCCTCCGGAGAAGGGGGAGCGAGGACCGTCTCCCACCACCTGCCGGTCCACAGGTGGCCGGGCTGGGAAGGACCTTCGCCTCCCGGGGCCCACCTGGCCCGCCTGGCCCCCTCCGCCTCGGCGCCCCCTCCAGCTCCCGGGTCCCCGAGGCCCCGCGCACCAGCCCGGGGTGCTAGCAGCCCCGCGGGCCTGGCACAGGCTGGGAAGGCCCTGGGGAAGCACGTGCCTCCTTCTTGGAAGCCCCGACGGGCGGGGACCTGGGCCAGGCCTCCGGGTTCCTGCCACCGCCCGGTCCACCCAAGGACGCAGGCGCCCGGTCCCCGCGGAGTGGCCGGGCCACGGGACGCGTCTGACCCACACACCAGCCTCCAAGTGTGAAGTTCGGGACGGCCCAGGCGCGGGGGGCCGGGTAACAAATGCGGCGAAAGCGAGGCCCAGGGGTTGGGGACCTTGCTCCGAGGCCGCACAGGTGTCCAGCAGGTGCAAAGCCGGGGCTCCCGGTTCCCTTCCACGGAGCCGCCAGGGGGACTCGTGGGCCGCCGGGAACCGGCCTCGTGAACTGCCCGTGGGGCGGCCCAGCACCTGGGTCTCGAATGT